AATCCTAATTTGATCATGATGTTTCTCACACAGGACCATTCCACTCTGTCAAAAGCCTTTGACATGTCAAGCTTGATGGACATATAATAGGACTGACCTGATCTATGGTTATTAAGAAAATGGATAATCTCATGAGCAAGAATGACATTGTCAAGAATCTGCCTATTTGATATGAAAGCTGATTGGGCATCATTAATGCAGAGGGGAAGGGTTGGTTTAAGTCTGGTGGACAAAATTTTAGAAATGACCTTATATGTGACACTGCAAAGGCTGATGGGCCTGAACTGGGAAATCATGTCAGGTTTCTGAACTTTAGGGATCAAAGTAATTAAAGTGTGGTTAATACTTTTAAGCATTTTACCTGAGTGAAAAAAACTGAGAACTAGAGCACAGAGATCATTTTTAATGAGGGACCAAAAATGCTGAAAAAACAGAGAAGTCATACCATCTTGGCCAGGGGCTTTGTGTGGGGAAATGGAGAAGAGAGCAGCTTTAATTTCATCCTCTTCAACTGCAGCTGTGAGATCAGTGTTCATGGATTCAGTGATCACTGGGACAATTTCATTAAGAACTGGGTCTGCATATGATGGACCTTGTGAGGAAAAAAGGGCATGGTAGAACTCCTCAATACACATGGAAATTTCATCTGGTGTGTCACAAACTGATGAGTCTTCCTTGATCAATCTAGTGATTTTGTTTCTCTTCCTTCTGTGAGATGTGTGAGCATGGAAGAACCGGGAGTTTTTGTCTCCATGATGAAGCCATGTAATCCTGGACTTTTGTTTCCAGTATTGTTCTTCCATATTGTAGAGGTCATTGAGCTCTTTCTAAATTGAGTCCTATTTTTGCCAGTCCCTAAGTCCTCCTTCCCATCTAAGCTCGGCCAGCTGTCTGCGGAGGGATTCAATTGCCATAGCATTTTCAAATTTGAATTTTCAGCTCCACTTGAGGAGGTTTAGTCTGACCCCTTTGATTTTTTCTTGGAAGCAAAACATTGGTGTTCCTGATTGATAACAGTTCCACGCAGCAGAAACTATTTCAGACACACCCTCTCTCTTAAGCCACCTTTGATCAAAGAAAAATCTTTTCTTTTGTGGTTTGGTCTCTGGATTGGAGTTGAGGCAGAGTAGGCCATGGTCAGATGATGACTTGAATTCATTGAGGACTATGGAGTTTGGGTAGAGAGTTAGCCATCCCAGTGAGCAGAAAATTCTGTCCAATTGTTCTTCTACAAACCCTTCTCCTTGTCTGTTGTTTGCCCATGTGAATTTGTGGCCTTTGAGCTCAATTTCATGCATACCCATCAGTGAGATGAATGTGTTGAATCCTCTGAATGATGATAGTGGTCTAGTAGTTCCCCCTTTTTTCTCTTCTGGGCATGTGATCTCATTCCAGTCACCCCCTACAAACCAGTAATCACCCCACTTTTGCTGAGCTTCCAGAAGATATTGCCATTGTTCCTTTCTAGCTTGATGATGGGTACTAGCATAGACAAAGGTACCTCAGCAAGTGATGTTTTTCTCCTCATCCCAGAATTCCACTTGGATGCAAAAAGCAGTCTTGATGATTTGAAAGATATGGACATCAGAGTTCCATATGAGCAGAAGGCCTCCACTCCTACCAAAAGGGTCTACAGCAGACCAGCATTCTCCGAGGTTAAGTTTTTTACATATGGTATGTACAAATTTTTCTTTTTTTTGAGTTTCAGAAAAAAAAAAAAGCAAAAAGGGGGTGGTGGAGTTTCCAAGACTCCTTGAGCTGGGAAATTGTAGAGGCCCCACCCAGGCCTCTACAATTCCACAGGGTTGTCTTCATTGGTCAGGGTGGGGCCATTTGGGGCTGGCCTCCTTTACCCTAGAGTCTTCAATTTTTTGCTTTTTCTTGCCTTGGTCAGTTTCAAGTATTTGGTTGAGCTCTGGATTGGAAGATGTTTCCATGATGGTTAGCTGTCTTTTTGTTCTGGTTAATCTGGCTGGTGTTGGTTGGGGTGGAGATGTTTTGGGATTGGGCTTTCTCTTCCATTTCTTGCTAGGGGTAGGTTGGTCATTGGGTTCAGGGGTTGGGGTAACATGTAGAGGGGATGATGTGTCTTAGGGTTCTGGAGGCATTAGGAGGTGGGTTTCATTGGTTGCTGCTATTTGTTGAATATCAGTGTCCATAGGAATTTGGGGTATAAGGGTCTGAGAGGGGTTAACAAAAGGCGTGATGGATTTGGATGGGGGTGTGATGGAGTTTTCAGTGGAGCTGGGTATTTGTTTATCAGGTTGTTCTGGATTTTGGGATGTGGATTGAGGGGTGTTTTCATTGGAATTTTGGGGTGAGGGAGAATGTTTCTGAGAGATGGGTGTGAGGTTAGCCAGAGTTTGAATAGGGCCTGAAAGTGATTTAGGTGTATTATTACGGGTGGGGGAGTCAGAGTGAGAGGTGTTTTGGTTATAGGAGCCTTGATAAGGAACTGGTTCTTGGGCTTTAAGCCAATCTCCAAATGATCCCTCTCTGAGATTTCTTGTGTCCATATCTTGAACTCTTTTTTCACAAGCTTTTTCCAGATGGCCGATGAGGCCGCAGTAGAAACACAGGTTTACTAACCTCTCATATTTGAATTCAACAAGTATGGTTTTTTCTTCTAGCTGGAGTCGGGCATACCTGAGAATCGGTTGATCAAGATCGATTGTGACAAGAATTCTGAGGCACTTTCCTGCTAATGGCCCATTTTGCGGAATGACCACATTTTTCACCCTCTTGAAGGTTCTGCCTAATTTAAGGCCAACCTCTGTGGATGTCCAGTGAATAGGCAGATTCCATGCTTGCACCCAGATGTCTAGCTCTTTGAAACAAGTGTGTTGACTGTTGATGTCTTTCGACCAGTCCTTTAGAATTAGGTATTGGTTGTCAAAGAGCCAGTTGGTGCCTTTTAGGACTTTCAATTTGTCATCTCGATTGTTGAATATGAATTGAAAGTAATTGTGGCTTAACTCTCTGATTGCCATCTGATCTTGAATTTGCCATATCTGGTTTAGGGCTCGCTTTAATCCAATTAAATGAACTCTTCTCTGTCCAATTACTTTGCCAAAGATGCTACGGTTGCAAGCTTCCTTACTGATGTTAATATCTTTAGACATTATCGGAATGATGTTTGCCTCTTTGTCCGATAAGTGAACATCTCCCATCTTTCGGAGTAGGTCTTCTTCCTCCATCATGAACACTGATTCACTGCTAATATTGAGGATGAAGTTGGGGCCGCTCTAATCTCCAGAATGAGTAAGACCTAGGATTCACAGAAAAGCAAAATCAGGGAACTCTAAAAAGAAAAACGACTACAATAGAGTGATAGCAAGAGGAGGAGAGAGTATAAAGGGTAAAGGAAGATTTAGAATTTCAGTGACTCTCTTATGCAAGAGAATCCGGCCTTGCTTCGAAGGAATCATACTCGCCGTGGAGAATTTTCGCCCTCATCGAAGGGAATCAATATCATGATCGAACTAAAATGATTGTATTCAATTAGCCCAATGCTCTAATTTGTACAAGATATAATTTTTTATATATTATTTTATTCTTATACATTGAAATAATAAATAAAATATTAAATAAGAATAATATAAAATAACAAATAATATATTTGAAATAATAAATTAATTTTTATGATACAAAAAATATTTTATTTATTTAGCTTAATACGATATACAATTATGTATATTAAAACTAGTTTTCGAATACACATAATTTATATACAAATGTATAAGTTATCGCACTTTATAAAACAACACGTTGCACCTTATAAAATAACATGTTTTAAATAACCGATCGAATTATATATTATCGCACTTTATATAGCAAGAATATTGCATTTTATAAAATAACACGTTGCACTTTATAAAACAACATGTTTTAAATAATCGAACGAACTACATAAAAAAAATATTATTTTTTATATTTTATCTATATATATATATATATATATATTGTTTATTTGCATCAAACAACAATATAAACTATTAACTAAAAAGTTTACTAATACGGAATATATTATTTTATAAAAAAAATTGCACTTCGAATATGCAATAGTGTTAGACTGATTGCACGTTAATGTCTTCAATATTGCACTTTAATGTTAGACGGATTGCACATTAGTGACAGTCAGATTGCACTATATCAACTGAACCCGACTGACTTGGTTTTTTGTATTTGAATACTATGTCGGATCGATTACATTTTATTTTTTATTTTTTAAATAACTGAAAATAATCGGACTGACCAAAGCATATAAACAAATACTATTTTTTACACATCAGTATGTTGCACTTTATAAAAAATCGAATTGCTCTTTACTAAACAACACGTTGTACTTTAACTGCTATCAGATTGCACAATATAAATCGGGATCGACCGACCTTGAATTTTTTCAGCCTGAAATACTATAAAAATTATAAATAAGATTATTAACGTATTAAATACAATCTTGATATAAATAAAAAGTATTTTGATTATTTGAGATAATTCGGTTACCCGAACCGAATATATTAATTAATTATGTTCATTTTCAATTTGACTTGGGACAATCGTTCGGTTGGTCTGATATGCACAATACAGACCGACACCGTGCAATATAGTGTTGTACGAATTGCACTTTAATAATTGTTAGAATGCATATTATATTTTATGCATGTATATACTAATTTTTTTAATAAAACAATAATATAAAAATATTAATTGAAAAATATAAAATGCTAATAATAATATTTATAAAATTTTAAATTGAATAACCACACATATATTGTTAAAATTCTTTATCAACCTTCTATATTTAATATATTTTTATTAAATACTTTTAGTGAAATATATAATTAAACATCAATTGAATACTCATGAATTACTCAAATAAACAAGCATTAACTCACTATTTTAAATACAGCTTTTTAAAACTACAAATTAGCTCCTCTAATTTATCTAATTTACATAGAAAAACCCTACAATTCACAAGTGGAAGTAGATCGTCAATCATGGACACTTCTTCCTTCCAGGCCGTCCATCTACTTCAGCACACCGCCGGTGTCGATTCACACAGAACACGCAGCCGCCATCGGACCTCCGTCGCTGTCGCGTCGCGCCGCAGTATGCCGCTTCATAGCATCGTCACCTTCAGTAGACGCGACTCCTCGTCGCCGGCTCGCTGCCTCGTCTATGTCAGACGGATCGACGCCTCGTCTCCATCCACAAGAACATATCTTCGTCTCCCGTCCATCACAGCGTCGCAAAGCCGTCGTCCACCGCCGCGTCTCTTCAGTTCCGTCAGCCGTCGTGTCGCCTCACCGCCGCGTCACTTCGGTTCCGTCAGCCGTCAACCGCTGTGTTGCCTCGCCTCCGTCAGTGGCTGCCTTTGGTCGGAGTGTGTGTGTGTGTGTTTTTGGTGTGTGTGTGTGTGCTGCGTGTGGGTAAAAATAATGTGAATTTGTGTTAGTGTGTGCGAGAGAGTGGGAGGTTGTTGATGAAGGGGTGGGCCCCACGTGGTATGGTGTGGATGATTACGTTAATGTTTAATGACCAATTTGTCCTTATTTAGTGGTCAAATGTAAATATTTGACCAAAGATTGAAAACTTTTACAAAACTGCCACTCATGTTTGACTGCCATATTTAATATTTGACTTGATCAAGACCATTGATATGTTGGATCCAATGTCCAGACTCATTCTTATTTCTTTCACTAGGGATTATTCTCATATGATCCTTTCTCTCTCTCTCTCTCTCTCTCTCTGTCTCTCTCTCTCTCTCTCTCTATATATATATATATAGTTATGATCAAGTCAAATATTAAATATGGTAGTTAAACATGCGGTGGCATTGTTGTAAATAATTGTTCATTCCATGGCCAAATCTACACATTTAAACATAAAATAAGGGCAGATTGGTAATTTTTCAATTACACACTTCACATGTGGGCCCTCTACCACCCCTACCAAACTTTAATTTCTCTCTCACATACTCACACACACAAGTCACGGATTTTCTGGCGGCGACCACTCCATCTGTAGCCATCGCCCGCGCCGCTGCCGCCGCCATCTGCAGCCCGCCGTCGAGTGCCGCAGGCATCTCGCCGCCCGTCGTCGGGCTCTCGGACTGGAGTTGCAGACCGTTGTGGCGCAGACACCCACCTCCGTCGGACTCTTGCCTGAAGTTGCAAACCGTCGCGGCTGTTTATTGTGTTTTTGTGTTTATTTTCGTGTGCTTTATGTGTTTTAGTTTAGTGTTTTTAGGTTCGTTTTTGTGTCAACCAATCTATTTTGTCGTGTCTTATGTGTTTTCATGTTTTTATTACGTGTCTTTGTATTTTGGCGTACTTTCTCGTTTATTTTGGTGGATGTAGGTCCATTATGCACATTTGGGGAGACGAGCCATTGTCCGAGCCATTACGAGACGAGTTAGTCGAGCCATTTGATCAAGCCATATGAGTTTTCGAGAGAGAGATTGCCGATTGGGTCACCCGATTGAAGAAATTGAGTAGTGCCACGGTCACCGCACTCGTAGCCAACTGAAATTCATGCCCCGCGAAGCGGCATGGTGAGGGAGGAGGCATCGCACTCGTTGCGAAAGGTCCTTGGCGACCCGCTAAGACGACACCCTAGAACTCACACTCGCTGCCAATGGACATTCGCGACCTGTGAGATGCTACGCTCAACACTTGCCATCCATGCGAACTCACAGCGAGACACAATTGGCGACCAGCGAAGCGGCATACTCCAGCAGCAACCATGGGCACTCGCAGCAAAGGGGAGTTCGCGGCCTGCAAAGCGGCTCGCGCCCAACTAGCCCCAGCCACTCGCTGCGAACTTCAGCTCGCGCCCCCGCCCAGCGGCAGCCCGTGCGCGCCATCAGCTCTACACTCGGGGCGAACAACCTTTCGAGACCCGCGAACATGTGTTTTTAGTTGAAATTCACTCCAAAACTCGCTGCAAACTTGTTTTCGATACCTGCGAATGCAGATTAGTAAATGTGTGTGCACCTAGTGTGTGTGCTTAGATTCCTCTATAAATATATTTTGGCACTTTGTATTTTGGCCATCTAAACTTCGTTTCTCACTTTACCACTTTGGGAGCTTATGTCATCATTTTCCGGCGACTTTTATTTTGTTCAAGTTCCAAGCTTTTGACTCCGATTTTTATCTAGCACGCAATAGAAGATTGGGTATTTACTTTTAAAGCTCATTACTTTGATTTTTGCCTCGTTTTTACTTATGATGATTATCTAGGTGAATTTGGGTGTTTGCTTGATGATGGAGGGAATGTTTGGACTTGATCATTGCTCTTGCTTGTTTTAGTAGGGATTAGTTACTTGTCTATCTAGATTAAGGGTTAGGACTCTATTTAGAGCTTGATCACTTAGGTTAGAAGGTTAGGGTTAGTGATCTAGTGCTTAAGACTTGCTCATTTCTCTTAGTTGAGTTCGTTCGGTTGTGATGGCATAGAGACTCCGGTAGTGTTAATTGCTTTATTCTCTAGTTTACTTGTTGATTTAGATTGCGAGTTCGATTAGCATCAATTCTCCCCCAATCCAATGGATTAGCATGTTTAGCTTTTATTTTCTTACTTTGTGTGATTTGGACAATTAAGTGGTGAACAAAGCTCCGAACCGGCTTCCTTTGAGAACAACTCGAGGTCGCGTAGCTCGGTTACCAACTACCCACAAAATACTACAAAACAAAATGGCGCCGTTGCCGGGGAAGGCAAGTAGGACACCTAGTCCATTATTTGATTGTCCCGTTTTCATGTGTTTCTCTTGATTTTTGTGAACCTTGCCTAATTTCCGTATTTCTCTTGATTTCTGTTGCTTTTGTGCATATTTTGTGTTTATTGATTGTGTTTTGCTCTTGCTTCCTGCGCTCACGGGTATAGTTGTTGGTTGTGTTTATGCGAGGTAGACGGAAGCGAGCAACCCGAGAGGAGACTCCACCTTTAAATCTATACGTTGAGCTTAATATAGACGAGCCACAACCGGAACCCGAACCCGAACCAATGGCGGGACAAGGAGATCAATTGCCACCACTTCCCCCGAACATGAGGTACTTTGCATGACCGATTATTGGAGACAACACGTCGTGCCTTGTGCTCGGGGAGGCGGCCCGAAACTATGACCTCAAGACGATCCACCTCAACCAACTTCCCTCGTTTTATGGCCTCGCACAAGAGGATGCGCTCAACTTTATCCGAGACTTCTACTCCACGGTCAACACCTTTCCTCTCCAATGCCTAACCGAAAATCAACTTCGCATGAGATGCTTCCCCTATACCTTGAAGGATCGAGCCAAGACTTGGTTCATGACATTGCTTCCAAACTCACTTAACACGTGGGAAGCCGTCTACGAAAAGTTCATGGGCAAGTATTATTCGCATCAAAACACAACCGACCTCCGAGCACAAATGGCTAGCTTTAGCCAAAACCCGGGCGAGACCTTTCACGAAGCATGGGAGTGGTTTAAGGGATATCAACTCAAATGCCCACACCATCATTATTCTTGCGTGTGCTCAACCAATTCTTCTACGATGGTCTCTACCAAACTCTCCAATATATGGTTGACCATGCGGCCGGGGGAGATATCGGGAGTCACACGGCCGAGGAGATATATGAATTGTACGAGATGTTGAGCGAAAACTCACAAAGGAAAAGCGTGCGAAAGAGGGCTCCCGTTAATGAGGCCATAAAAGCATCATGTTCGTCAAATGATGCGGTTATGGCTAAGTTAGCTTCATTGGAGGAGGAGCTCAAACACCTTCGTCTACGCGATGCAAAGTCGACCCAAGTAGTTATGGCGGAGGTGTGTGGATGTTGTGCAGAGAGGGGGCATAGAGGCCATGAGTGTCCATGTTATATGGAGCCGGTTTATGACCCAAATGTTGTGACGGTCCCTTTTGATGTTAATGTCGTGCAAGGGTATGCTCCCCGGGCTCAAAATGATCTATACTCGAACACTTACAATTTCGGGTGGAGGAATAACCCTAACTTCTCTTGGAGGGACCCAAAAGCGAACTATCCACCTCAACCGGCACCACCTCAAGCCTATGCCCCGCCTCAAGCTTATGCACCCCCTCAAAACCAACCATAACAACCGAGGCCCGAGTTCCAAGGCTACGTACAACCACGAGGAGGATTCGTACCATGGCAACTGATGCCACCTCAACCGGAGCCCGAGAATGAGACCAAGGCGAATTCCTCGGATGTTCGAATCGACAATATGGAGAAGTACCTTCAAAGCCTTGCATCAACCGTCTCCACTCTCCATGATGCGGTCAAGGGCGTACCTTCAATCCAAGCTTCCCTTAAATGCCTCGAGACTCAAGTGGGGCAACTTGGGACTTCACTCGGTGAGATGCAAAAGAGCAAGATAAAAGACATGCTCCCGAGCCAACCCGAGCATGTCAATGCTATCTCGGTGTTGAGGAGTGGTAGAAAAGTTGATAACCATGTGGAGATGCCTAAGGAGAATGAGGTGGAGGAGACTCTTGTCGAGGAGGAGGATGAACCAATTGAGGATATTGAGGTTTCGAAGAGTAAAACCAATGTTGATGAGGGGGTCGGGAAGGAGAAGTTGAAGATGGAGGCACGTGAAGGCTTACACAAGACGGCTACACCTTATAAGCCACCGGTCCCTTACCCGAGCCATTTGCACAATACCAAGAAGGAGCGTCAATTCAAGGACCTCTACAACATGCTCTCAAAGGTAAACGTCAATCTCCCACTATTAGACGTTATCAAGAACGTCTCGGCTTATGAACAATTTTTCAAAGACTTAGCATCGAAGAAGCGGAGATTTGAGGACAACGAAAAAGTCATGATTTCCGAGGTAGCTTCTACCACTACACCTCGGAAAGAGTGCGATCCAGGAGCTTTTGTGATGGGGATCACTTTTGGGAATGGTAAGGCGACGACCGGGATGCTTGATTTGGGGGCCGGTATCAATCTTATGCCCTATTCGATTTACAAACATTTGGGTTTGCAAGGGCTCAAGCCGACCCGGATGTGCCTACAACTAGCGGATCAAACGTTGAGGCAACCGAAAGGTATTATTGAGGATGTATTGGTCAAAGTTGGGTCCATTGTTGTGCCGGCGGATTTCGTGGTCGTTGACGTGGGAGATATTCCGAATACCGAAAAAGAGCACATTATCTTGCTTGGGCGACCTTTCATGGCGACGACCAACACGCATATCGATGTCAAGGATGGACGAGTCACTCTTTCGGCTCATGGAGAGACAGCTACCTTCACGATGAACAATGCCCGAGAAGCTCCACCCAAAGTTGGTCAATGCTTGTTTGTGGAGGATATCTACAAAAAGGTACATCCCAACTCTCACTCTAAGTTTTCTAATTATAATGGTGTTGGTGAGAAGAAGAAGGTAAAGGGGTCGGGAATAAATGTGGATGATGAGTTTGTGGTGAAATTTGAGTTGAGTATGTAAGTGGGCGAGTATTTTCTTTGACGAGCACGAGGAGTTTGGAGGAGCTCGTCAAACTGTGCCCAGCTGATTTTTTTTGAATTGACGGGAAAGTCGAGCTCACGACTTTAAACCGAGCGCTTCGTGGGAGGCAACCCACGTTTTTGCTTTTATTCTTCTATTTTTCTTTTTCTTGCATTTTTCTCTTCTTTTTCTCTTTTTGTATTTTTCTTTCATTTTTCCATTAAAAAAAATAAAAGAGAAAATGGAGTGCTCGTGCCGACTTGTGGAGCCGAGCCGAAAGAAAAATGAGCGAATTCGAGTTTTTATTTTGCTCGTAAATTGAGTTGAGAATTTGAGCGAAAATTGTAAAAATTTTGCTAAGTGTGGGATTTTCACAAACTCGCCCGCGAACCAGCATTTGCGCCCTGCCAATCATCCCTCGCGCCGCGGACTAGGACTCGCGCCCAGCCAACCCGCAACTCCCTACCCGCCAGCGAAAGGCGCGACCACTAAGTTTCTGTTCCATAATGCTCGCGCGCCCAACCCGTTTTCGCGATCTGCCAGCTGAAACTCGCCAGCGAGAAGCCCCTCGCGACCAGTGAAGAAGCACCCGCAACCCGCTAACCCCATTTCGCCTGCGAACCGCGCCTGCCCCAAACTTCAGCTTAATTTTGTTCGCGCCTCCAAAGCCAATTTGCGCCCAGCCAATCCTAGTCCACCAGCCAAGTACCACTCGCGCCCCGCGAAGATCGCCAAGCCCAGCCAGCCTATCTTCTTCCCCGCACCGCCGCGCGCCGCCTCCGGCTCCGGCCAACCACCTCCGATCATGAAAATTTTACATCAACGCGTAGCTCTCGTCGGTGCAGAAAACATATCCTGGATTCATGAAAAAATTCCAACGAGGAGGCTTCCGATTTCCGGCCATAAGCTCGTAGATCTACAAACTTCTTCAACCTTCAAATCCAAATTGCCGGTGACTCACTTAGAGTTATGAAAATCTGAAGGCACTCCCGGACTCCTCCCGCCGAGCCGCACCTTTTTCCGATCACCATTGCCGAATCCGGTGATCTTTTCCGGCGACCATTTTTTCGGGCGAACGAGCTTCCACCGAGTCCCGGTTAGCTTTTCTCGCGCTCTTCTTTGCCCGTGCCATCGTTCCCTTGCGAGTGGTGTATTTTCCGGTGACCGAAACTCCGATTTCTCTCCTTACGAACTTCGGAAACTATTTTCTCGTCCATATCCAAGGTACAATAGCTTGTTCTTTATTCGTATTTCCATTATTTTTGTCGAGCTTGGTTGACTACTCTTGCCGGAGTAGTCGATTTTGGTTATTGGAGTTGGACTCGTGTGATATGCCGTCTTGCCCGGCGTGCCAATTTTTGTGTTGTTGCTGGATATTTGAGTTTGTAGGTTGCTACTTACGGCATGTGCCGGTAATCGATGTGTTATGATGCACACATTGAGGAGTTGGCCGTGTCATGTTATGGTGAGTTTCATTGAGTGCCTCGAGGCCCGATTTTTGAGCTTTCGAGCTTACGTGCGTCTTTGTCGAGTTTGTGAATTCACGGCCATTATCTCTCCAAGATGCATACATGAGGCCTTTGCTTAGATCGGTTCATGTGTTCAATGTTCAACCGTTCGGGTGGTTTCGTTTCTAGCTCGAGGACCTTCGGCTCGAGGACCTTCGGCTAATTTGCTCTATTCCTACCGGACGATCACCATTGGGCACACGGTGGTGCACCACCGTGTTGAGTACACATTTTTTTGCCTTATTTTCTTTTTTTCTCGTTTCTTTGCTTGTGTTCTTTTTTGTGTGCCTTTTCTTTTCGTGCATTTATTTTTCTTTTGTGATTATGTGCTCTATTCCACGCTTTTTGGGTCAAGCAATGAGGACATTGCTTTGTTTTAAGTGTGGGGGAGGGGTTTCGTGATTATGCATGTTTAGGCGATACTTCTTTCATTTTCGGTGCTTTATTTTCGTGTCTTGGACCAGTTTTGTTTGTGTTTTTATGTGTTTGTGTCGATTCCACTCCATGATGCTTGATGTGAGTTAAAGGCCCAAAATGGTTAAGTGGCAAGATAAGTATGTCGATTGGTGTCATTGTTAACTTCCGTGCTTTATGAACTTGATGATTTGGATGGTACCATTGAATTTGATGATAGTTTGTTAAATGTGGGTCCCGTATATGAATTCACGGAATTGTTTTGTCCTTTGTTGTTCTCGATTGATTGACTTGAGATATGCTTTCCTTATGCTCGATTATCATTGTAAACGTGTTATGCTATTCATTTGTAGTGCATCTCGATCAACTATGTGTTTATGTGATTACACTTATGATGTACGTTTGTGCCACTCCCTTCGAAAAAAAAAAAAAAAAAAAAGAAAAAAAAATAGGGAATAAAAAGTGAGTTCGCGAGGAGGTACGGACTAGGCTCCTCTTATCCCGAGCCACTTCGTGGAATGGGATAATGAGCCTGGGAAACCAGTTTAGGGAACTCGAGTGACCAATCGAGGATAAACCTAGATAAGCATTGTCTAGGAAACCTTGTTCGGAAAAAGAAGCTCACATAACAAAAAAAAAAGAAAAGAAAATAAAAGAAGAGGAGTTGGCTATTTGGTTCGTGATTATCTTGATTTACATCTTTAGTAGACCGCTTTTAGCTTTTTGCACGTATATGTAGCAAAGGGAAGTTTAAATCGAGAAAATCATGTGTAGGATGAATTTAGACGGGTTTTTGTTTTGTATGGATTCATTTGGTGGGGAACATGTTTTCGAACTTGAGTTTGATTCAATGGATTACCGAATGAAAATGAGAGTCTAATTTTCGCATGATTGTTAACTTTGGACCTCTCGATATTGCTTTTCGAACTACTTACTATTTTGTTTGCTTGAGGACAAGCAAAAAGCTAAGTGTGGGGGAGTTGTTTGTTGTGTTTTTGTGTTTATGTTCGTGTGCTTTATGTGTTTTAGTTTAGTGTTTTTAGGTTCGTTTTTGTGTCAACCGATCCATTTTGTCGTGTTTTATGTGTTTTCATGTTTTTATTATGTGTCTTTGAATTTTGGCGTACTTTCTCATTTATTTTGGTGTATGTAGGTCCATTATGCACGTTTGGGGAGACGAGCCATTGTCCGAGCCATTACGAGATGAGTTAGTCGAGCCATTTGATCGAGCCATATGAGTTTTCGAGAGAGAGATTGTCGATTGGGTCACCCTATTGAAAAAATTGAGTAGTGCCATGGTCACTGCACTCGCAGCCAACTGAGATTCGCGCCCCGCGAAGCGGCATGGTGAGGGAGGAGGCATCGCACTCGCTGCGAACTGTCCTTGGCGACCCGCAAAGACGACACCCTAGCACTCACACTCGCTGCCAATGGACATCCGGGACCTGCGAGACGCTATGCTCAACACTTGCCATCCATGCGAACTCGCAGCGAGACACAATTGGCGACCAGCGAAGCGGCATACTGCAGCAGCAACCATGCGCACTCGCAGCGAAGGGAAGTTCGCGGCCTGCGAAGTGGCTCGCGCCCAACGAGCCCCAGCCACTCGCTGCGAACTTCAGCTCGACCCCGCCAAGCGGCAGCCCGCACGCGCCATCAGCTCCACACTCGCGGCGAACAACCTTTCGAGACCCGCGAACGTGCGTTTTTAGTTGAAATTCACTCCAAAACTCGCTGCGAACTTGTTTTCGAGACCTACGAGCTGTAGATTAGTAAATGTATGTGCACCTAGTGTGTGTGTGCTTAGATTCCTCAATAAATATATTTTGACCCTTTGTATTTTGGCCATCTAGATTTCATTTCTCACTTTACCACTTTAGGAATTAATGTTTTCTTTTTAGTTTTTCTCTCTTCTCTCTCCCTTGGGAGCTTATGTCATCATTTTCCGGCAACTTTTATTTTGTTCAAGTTTCGAGCTTTTGACTCCGATTTTCATCTAGCACGCAATAGAAGATTGGGTATTTACTTTTAAAGCTCATTGCTTTGATTTTTGCCTCGTTTTTACTTATGATGACTATCAAGGTGAATTTGGGTGTTTGCTTGATGATGGAGGGAATGTTTAGACTTGATCATTGCTCTTGCTTGTTTTAGTAGGGATTAATTACTTGCCTATCTAGATTAAGGGTTAGGACTCTATTTAGAGCTTAATCACTTAAGTTAGAAGGTTAGGGTTAGTGACCTAGTGCTTAAGACTTGCTCATTTCTCTTGGTTGAGTTCGTTCGGTTGTGATGGCATAGAGTCTCCGGTAGTGTTAATTGCTTTATTCTCTAGTTTACTTGTTGATTTAGATTCCGAGTTCGATTAGCATTAATTCTCCCCCAATGCAATGGATTAGCATGTTTACCTTTTATTTTCTCATTTTGTATGATTTGGACAATTAAGTGGTGAACAAAGCTTCGAACCGTCTTCCTTTGAGAACGACTCGAGGTCGGATAGCTCGGTTACCAACTACACACAAAATACTACAAAACAGCAGCAACCGCCTGCCCTGTCCCCGTCGTCATATTCTTGCCACTGCCACAGTCCACCGCCGCGATGAACTTCCACAGTCCACCGTCGATCACCGTCCAGTCCACAGTCCATGCGCCGTCTCAGTTAATGCGGCCACCGGCCAATCGAGTGCAACGGTGGCCTTCACGGAGAGAGCCACCGTGTCGTCGGCGCGTGGAGACATGAACTGCATTTACCGAGCGGGAATAGGTTGATTCAAGACGGCTCGAACTCGTCGCCGGCATGAGGGGTAAGGACGGCGACGGCGGCCGGAAGTCGGGCATGTGCCTTGAGTCCCTTTTTCAGATGTTGGTGGCTCACTTTTGCACATTAATGAACAAGGACTTGTGTTTGTAAATTTGATAACATTTAGGGGCTTAATTACAATTTAAACATTTTTAATAAATTACAATTGAGTCCATGGGTGAGTTTGTAGTTAGTAACAATATAATTAATATTTTAACATTTCATTAATATGTAGTAATTTTTTATAGTTTTTATTGAAATAAATATACATAATAAATAAA